TCACAATTAGGCCTGCTTTCTTAGTAAGAAAATCAGTCTGCTTTAATTTGGTGTCATTGGGACCAGCAGATGGTGTAATGGTTGTGTTGCTGGACTCCCACGTAGTTGACCATAGTTCAAGTCCCAGACCTGGCAGCTTAAACTCACGCCAAGCATGTGTGTGTACGTGCCCAAAATTCTGAGAGGAGAATGTAATAGGGATTGTGGTGTGGCCATGCCCCCCACAGGGGGGGTGATTTCTCACTTTCTGTCTCTCGTCTCTCTCTGTCTCTCCAGCAAGTGCATGCACAATACAGCAAAAATCTCTCTCTCTAGAAAATAAAAATAAAAATAAAAATAATTTGGTGTAATCACGGAGCATCAAGTAACTAAAGTGAGGGAGGGAGAGAGAGCAAAGGAACGCAATTAAGTGTCCCAGGCCCTCTGCATACATTATGTCTGATCCCACAACAATCCAGGCGGGAGGGTTATTAGTGCTACCTGACACATGAGGACACTGAGACTGAGGATGCCCTGGAGACCCGTCAGAGGCCACTCCACGAGTCAGCGGCAGAGGCCTTATTCTTACCACCCCTAATTACCAGCCACGTAGTGGGAGTTTGAGCCCCCTGGAGTAAATCGGTGTGGGCGAGTGTATGATCTTCCGAGGAAGCAGCCCCAGCTCCCCGGCTGCTCCATGGGCACTTTCAGGCTGTCCAAGAACACCTGTGCCCACGCCGTGTGTGGGCCCGTGCTCCTCTGATGCGCTCCGTGCACACAAGGACACACATTCCTGGAACACGGATCAGTCGAGCAGACAATTTAGAGACGTGTGTCCCTCAGCCCTTTGGTCCTTGCTTAAATCAATGGAAATGTGAGTGCAGAGAGCTGCGCTGGGGCTGTTCTGCCGGACGGATGGAAGAGAAGCTCACGGGGGAGTGCAGGAGCGGAGCCCCTTCTTGGGGTCCTGCTTTGACGTTTGGGGACAGCTGGAGCTAACGTAGACCGGCTCCTGCCCTGTGGGAAGACTCAGGTGGGAGGGGCATGCCTGGAGTTGGCCACCCTGGCCAAGCACCTCTGCGTGCATGAGCTCCAGACCCCCTAGAATCAGCGCGACTGGCAAGAATCCGCCTGTCGAATGCTCCTCGTCCCCTCACACTCTGCTCTGTCCCCGGCGTCCCCACCACTGCCGTGCTCAGGCTTTCTCCCGGGCAGGGGGGTCTCCAGGTAGACACTGCACATGGTTATGACGTGATCCCATCCTGCAGCAGAACGTGACCGGGGGTCATCACAGAAAAGCAGCTATGAGAACACGCGCTCATTGCGGTCATGTTCACACTCTTCTGCCAACTACAAATGTGTTTGTTTAAATAGTCCTTGGTTTACCCCGCTGTCACTCCCTCTCAGTAGCAGGCGAACGGGCTCGAATTGCAGTGTGTGTAAGTGACGGGGTAGCAGGCCAGCCGTGTTCAGTCAGCCCTCGCACCCAGTGCTGCTTCCCGGGAAGACAGCCCGCTAGGCTTGGTCACCTGCCTCCCAGGTAACCAGAGTGCTTCCTGATGGTGCGCTGATTCACAACTTCAAGTTGGTGTTTAGGTTTCTAGGTAGATGGCTGGACTGTCTCGCAGCACTTTAGCAAGAGTAAGAAATGGTGCTTTGCAAGTACTCGGTGAAATTGAAGCTCCGGGCCCCGCCACTTGGTTGGAAATCAGGCCCCACGTTGAAACGAGACGAGCAGGCAGCCGGCTAGTGGGTACTGCATGTCCCTGTTCTGGGTCCAGTGTCTGTGTGCGGTCTTTCGGATGGCTCAGCGCTTGGTGCACATGCTCGCCGACTCCCACCTGGCTGTGCTCGCTCTCTGCCCCCAGATGACCAGCCAGACACCGAGAGCTCAGGACAGCCCTCACGTCTCACCAAGGTTCCACATCCCCATATTCAACCAAGCAAGGGTTAACTATATTCAGATAATAAATAAATAGCAATGCAATAATAAAAACAATGACAAATAATACAGTATAACAACTGTTTTGTTGTATTGGGTGTTGTCAGTAACTGTAGAGAGAATTTAATGTCGCGAGAGGATGCACATAGATTGTATGCAAGTTTGATGTAAGAGACCTCAGCATTCAAGGGTTTTGGTATCTGAGGGCGTCCTGAAGTCCGTCCCCGGGGGCTACTGAGGAACCGCCACATACGAAGTTAGGGCTATTGGTGATCCATTTGGAAAAAGTAGAGTGACATATTTATATCTTGAAAAGTGAACATTTTATAATTATAACGTAAGACACTAATACACATCTTGTAGATTTGGACCACGCATGCTTGTATTTACACAGAAACGTTTCTGTGAGTTCATGTGATTTTGGGCTGACAATGATGAGGAGAATCTTCTTTTGGGTTGTTGGAAAAGTCATGGTGTATTTTCTATGTTTTTTTTTAGGCAAGAAAGTCATGACTTTTCTGATGACTCAATTTTTTATGTATTTCTGAATACTTCTAAATGTCTTTCATAATAATACTTTAGATATTTATTAACTGTTTTTAAAAGTTGTATTTTAAGTGTAGACTCAGTAAAAATTCAGTATTTTAGTATCCGGGTGACGGACAGTCCCTTCTGAAAGAAATGGTAGCATTAGGGGGTAGAGCGGTCTGCGGTGAGAAATGCCGTGTGTGTTAAGACGCTCCCAGATGTTGGCGCCAGCAGTCGTTGCACCTCTGGGCTCTCACATGGCCGACAGCGGTTCGAGTCCGTGGCGTGAAAATCATGCCAGGTACACGAGTGTGTGTGCACAAGATCCTGGGAGGAGAGTGGAGGAGAAGGGATCGAGGCATGAGGGGTGCTTTTTCACTTTCCCTCCAATTGTCTCTGTCTTCTCTCTCTCTTCTGCAAGCACCTGCCCTCTAAGGCAAAACAAACAAAACAAACAAAACACCTTTAAAAAAAAGAAAGGACGAAGCTTCCAGATGCTTTTCTAAGTATTATTTCATAATGTGTGAGATCCAAAACCATAAGCCCAGGTACCCTAATTTTCTTGTCACAAAATAGCTTTACCACTGATTTTTTTTTTTTTTCTTAAAAAGAATCTGTAGCCCAGTCCCTCTGAGAGTGGCTGGTTGCAGAGCCGTGGGCGCTGTAGGCTGGTGACTCTATGCACAGTTGTGCGGTTTCTGTTGATAGCAACGTGCTCAAGTAACAGGAGACTGGGGTCCACACAGAGGCTGGGAGCGAATGGTCAGGGGGCTGTCCCGCCGGAGAAGAGTGCAGGGGTTCACATGGTCCCCGTGGGGCGTCTATAGCATCCGGCGGTCAGCCTGGACTCCGGAGCATGAGGCCGGTTCAGGTCCTGTCTTGTCAGTGTCATGGGTGGCTGGGGTAGACCGAGATCGAGAGGACAGCCCAGGGCCTGGCTGTTCTAATGAGATGTCCATGGTGGGATGGAGGGACTTTGTGGCATCAGTGTGTTAGAATTTGAAGGAATCTTTGAAGCTACCTCCTCTGATTTGCTAACCATGCCGATGCCCGCGCTAAGGTACAGAGAGAGAAAATGACACACACAGGTAATGACCGAGGTGAGCTGATTCGCACAGGTAACAACCAGGGTGAACCGATTCCCATGGTAATGTGTGAGACGATTTCACCAAGGTGAATTGATTTCCTAGGTGCTGACCCAGGTTAGCTGAGTCTCACAGTCATGGCCAAGGTGAGCTGACTTACACAGGTACCGGTCAGGGGATTTTAGACCTGATGCTATTGACCGATGGAAGGAAAGTGTTCTGTACTTGAACTTTGGAGACTCAACAGGTTAGGGCCAGGCAGCGACACTGCAGGGCCTAGGTTCGTGTCCTGTCCCTGTGCACGCCGAGTGTGCATGCACATGATCTGGGCTGGCTGAGGCTGGGGGTAGATTGCGGAGTGATGACCCTGTTGAGGAACCCCTCCGTCTCTCTCTCTTGTCCTCTCTTGGAATAAATGAATGCATAAAAGAAAAGGATATTGATTTAATGACTTCACAGGTCCTCGGATGGAAACGTGCTCTTTCATTGACGCTCCTAGAACAGGACAAGCGTAGAGCCCGGGTGTGCCCTCACACCCCTCTTCCCGCATACCCATGCAGACATTGTTAATCAACCACCACTCTCCCAGCGACGCTCCGACCCAGCTGAAACGCTTCCTTAAGACAGCGCTGTTGGCGCCTGTCAACACTGATCCATCCAGTGAATTAAAACCCATTTGCCCTTCTCTTCTAAATGGTTTCTCCTGTGATTTGTGGGCAGTGTAAGAGCACTGGGCTCCAAGCCAGGAGAACTTGGTTTGGCTCCTGAATCTCCTTGAGGTCTTGGGCAGGTCTTGTAATCTTTCTGGACTAGTCACTCACCTCCAAGACGTGGGATTGAACTGAGCAGTCCTTCAGCGTCCTTCCAGCTTACGACTCAGACCGCAGGCCTCTCTGGAGGAACTCAGAGTTACAAGTGTGCATGTGGGGTCTTAGAAAGTTCACAGAACCTGCGTATGATGGAAAGGTTATGTGTGGGTTACAAATAATTTTTGCACCATACTAAGCATGTACTTTAATTCCATTTTTCAGCAGACTTTGTGATGTCCCCTTGTATTGGTTCCCAGGAGGGCTATAGACCATAAATCTGTTTTGGTTTCCAAAGTACATGGTCCTGGCCTTTTCTGAGTACTTCTTTTCATCTGTTCGGTCCTGTGGGCCCATATTCCTGAAACCAGAACCTCGAGGTTCGGAGGGGAAGAGAGGGGAAAAGTTACTTAAACCAGAGGATGCACAGGGGCCTCTTCAGGGCTGCAGCCAGGGGGCTCCATCCACCGGGCTGAGTGACTCTTCCTGTTGCCTGCCCATCCTGCCTTGTGGATTTCAGGCTGCCTCCTCCTCCCCTTCCTCCTCCTCCTCCCCCATTTCTAGGCCTAGGCGACCCTACCCTTGGGAGAGGAATGGCAGAATCCCCTCCAGGCCCCAGCCCCCTGTTCTGGCTGTGACCTGCCTCCCCTTGTCTTCCAGGCTCCTCTTCCCTTCGGGCATATCCGCTGCTCTCGGTGATCACTCGGCAGCCCACGGTCATCTCCCACCTGGTCCCCGCCAGCCCAGGAATCTCCCAGGCACTGTCACGCCACCCCACCGAGGCCGCGTGTGCAGAGGCCCCCGGCGCCGAGGCTGTGGCCAGCAGTGAGTCGGAGACAGAGCAGCCCACGGCCCGCCAGAAGAAGGCCCGCCGGAGCCGCACCATCTTCACCGAGCTGCAGCTCATGGGCCTGGAGAAGAAGTTCCAGAAGCAGAAATACCTGTCCACCCCCGACAGGTGAGAGGGCCGGCCCGAGGGGCGGGCCTGTGGTCAGGCTGTCAGCAGCATCAGTAGCAGGAAGTGACAGGAGCTGGTTTACACTGGAGTTGTCTCTGGTGACACTATACATGGTGATTCAAGTGGCAAGAGATGGAGCAGGGGACCAGTGGGGGGACCCAGGGGTGGTCAGCATAGATCGGGCTGGGCTGCTGACTGTGGGGATGGAGGGCAGGACAGCTGTGAGAACAGTTCTGAGGATGAAACGGACAGAACTGACGTGGGGGGGGGAGTGGGGCTTCTGTGGTTCCAGGTTGGACCCCTGGGAAGGAGGGATTCTGCCGGGGGAAGATGGGAGGCAGAGGACGGAATGGGTTTGGTGGGGACAGAGTGACTGGCTTCTGTTTTGGACATCTGCATTGGGGTGCCTCAGGAGGACAGTGGCAGCAAGCCTCTGAATCGGGATTAGCAGATGGGGTCTGCAGGTGTTCTGCGACGGTTTTCATGCCCTGACATGTGATCGAGGGCCTCGTTTGCATGTGTGGCCAGGGGAGTGGCACTGTTGTCCATGCAGCTTGGTGGCGTGTCCCAAGGGCACCAGCAGGCATGGGTGAGATTCTCATTTTTCAGAGGTCAGAGAACTTTCTTACGGAAACGTTAGTTCTGAGCGCAGCGCCCGAGGCTTCCGATACCTGCCCGGGCAGCTCTCAGGTGAGCACACGGGACTGATCCGCTGGCCCGGGAGGAGGACAGCCTCTGACTGGCACCGGCACTGCCTTCCCCGCCCTCCCCGACGCTCCTCACTCCCTACGTGACCAGGGCCACGGGAGCTCCCGCTCCCACACCCGGCTGCCTCCTCTCTGTTTGTTTCTCCGTTTCCTAGGTGACCCCCTTTGAGCGAATATGCAGGGAAGTGCGAATTTGTAACGGTGGCAGGTAATGAGAGAATGCCAGGACATGAAGCTAGTTTCTGTAGCCAGAGTGAGTCAAGGCGCATTTTTCCCAAGTGAGCTAATCCCGTTTGTTGACGCAGTGGCAGAGCTGGGCGCTGAGCCTCCCATGGACTGGTCCACCTGATGGCCTCAGGTGAACTGGCCCGGCTCAGGGAGGCACGGCAGGCCCCACAGAGGACCTGTGTCCAGGGAGACCTTGGAGACCAGAAGGCCAGATGGCCCCGGCTCCATGGTTCCTGGCGAATGGCTGCTGGGAAGCGATGCTTCATCCTGGGCAGAGCGAGTGCTGTCGACACTGGGGTACTCTGGCTTCAGCCTGTTAATCACTTTGAATAAAACTCCCCGCTTCCATGGCTTCCGTCTACACGGACGACCAGATATGTGTGAATGCAGACTGAAGACAGGTTCTGAAGGCCCTTGATGGAAGACTCTGTTTTCATTATTGGTTATTTGAATTGAACACTGTGGTTGGAGCCGGGGTCTGGCAGCTGTACCTGCAACCTGCGAGCTGGCATGCCTGGGCCTTCCTGCTGCTGCAACCTCAGGGCCAGCATGCATGGGACCGCCTGTGTTGACAGGGCTGCAGGTGTGTGGCTGTGAGCTGTGGGCCTCAGACCCAAGGTACAAGGCCAGCCTCAGAAACCTGTGACAAGTGCTGGTCCCTGCCCAGGCAGGTGGCCACCCACCGCTGGCCATCCCCAGGCACGTGCGGGTCCACGCTGCCTCACTGAGCAGGGCTGAAGCAGCAGGGAGGCAGCCAACGTGGGCTCGAGAAGGGGTCCTTCTAGTCAGCACCCCGGTGGACCTGGGGTTATGACCCACTTAGGTCAAAGTTACGGACTCAAAGCCTGGCCATACACTTCCGTTCTTCCAGACGCCGTGGGGTTGTATGCAACACCCTGATGTAGCATCCTTGTGTATTACCCACCAGTCCAATTTGTGCAAAAACTGTGGTGGGGGCTAAAGTGTATGGAAAAACGGAATTGAAATATGAGTTTTTTTTTTTTTTTTCTTGGAGAGATTTTCACTGTAGGGCGCGTGCGCTCGCCAGACAGACAGAGAGAGACATAGAGACAGAAAGCGAGAAATCACCCCCCAGGGGGGTTGGTCACGCCGCAATCCCTTCTCCTCCATTCTCCTCTCAGGATCTTGGGCACGCACGCACACGCGCCCGGCGTGAGTTTTAAGCCACCGGGTCCGGGACACGAACCGTGGTCGACTACGTGGGAGTCCAGCGACATAGCCATTACGCTAACTGCTGGTTCCCAATATGAGTTTATTTTGATGCAAAAAATTTTGAAATCCATGCATAGTTTTTTGCATGCTATACATTTCCCATGAACTTTCTGAAGATCCCCTCAGAGAGGTGATGGTGTACGAGTCAGACACTAGCAATCTGAGCCCAGCTTCCGCCTCTCATGCTGGGATCAGGTATCGGGGTTGGCAAAGCCTTCCGCACAGGACCAGACCACAGATCTGTAACTTCCCGTCTCTGACCTTGCAGCAGAGATAGCCGGGGACAGCATGCCAACTAGTGAGTGTGTCTGTGTTCCAATAAAGCTTTATTTACAAAGCCAGGTAGTGGTCTGCAGGATTTGCCCTTAGTTGCTAGAAGAGTCTAGTTTCTGATTCTCAGGTCCCTTGTCTGTGGGGTAGGAGCAATTGCACCCAGTTCACCATGTTGAGCAGGGATTTTACCACAGAGCACATGCAGGGGCATGGCCTGTAGTCAGGACACTAGTGCAGAGCTAAGACTAGCGGAGGAACGGAAAGTGGGAGAGGCTGCGAGTCCATGTTTCTTTTGAAATATATATGTTTTTAAGTTCATTTCTTCCAGGAGAAGTTGGGAGGTCATCTCCAACAGGGTGGTTCTGCTGTGACCCCCTCCCATTCTCAGCTGGCCGTGATCACAGGCCTGTGCACAGCCAGCGTGCAGAGGGAGAACTCGGGATGCAAACGCAGACCCTCTCCCCTGAGGTCCACTTGGGTTACCCCTGTGCCACCAGCTGGCCCCTCTTTTGGACTCTAAGAATTGTTCAGCCATTTTAATTGCTATAATAGTTGAGGGCAGCTGCAATGAATGACCAGATCCATCCAAAGGTGTTTGCTGGCCCAGCTGCCGTGACGTAGTGGTACTGCAAGTGCCCTGCAAGGCTGGAAGCCAGATGGCTGGCTGCGGGTTCAGGTCCGGGGTCAGCCGGAAAACACACCAGGCATGCACACACCAGGGCCCAAGGCCCGAGGAGCAGGAGGGTCTCTCTTTCTCTCTGCCCCTCCCTCCCTGCCTGTCATGCACATCTGTGCTATCAGTTAAGCAGACAGAAAGGATGTTGGAGCCCTGGTTCTGGACTTAGCAGTGTGATGGGCACCTTCATGGCTGTGAGATAAGGGGACGCCTGCTGCTCTTGCTGTCGACGTCGGGAGGCAGGACTAAGACAGGCAGAGTAATTCGACAGCAGTCAGGGCAGGGGCCACAGGTGACCGCTGGCTTACAGGGGTGCAGAGGAGAGTGAGAGGCCCACCCGCAGAGCCGCGACCTCACCTGGCTCTCGGGGTGAGGGGGCGGGGGGATCCATGACTCACCTCCAGTGTGGACTTTGGGCCAGCATGGTGTCGAGCAGAGGCTCGGAGCAAAGGCCCTGCGGGGTGGGGGAAGGGCGCTTTAGTGATGGCACAGACACACTCTTCCAAGTGCAGTGCGGGCAGCAGGTGCTTTCAGGGTGGGGACTGCCCGGCTCCTGGGGTGGGCATCTTTCTCAGAACTTCCCAGCATTTCTCCCACAGGGGTCTTGGGAGGAACGAAAGCCCTTTGGGGGAGAACAGGTGCTGGACTGGTCAGTGGACTCGCCCTGCTGCCCCGCCCTCCTCACCTTCCCTGCATGTCCTGTGCCTTCTAGGTTGGACTTGGCGCAGTCTCTGGGACTCACTCAGCTGCAGGTGAAGACGTGGTATCAGAATCGCAGGATGAAGTGGAAGAAAATGGTAAGGAGGGAGGGTGTGCCCACCAGGCCCAGGCCCTTGGGGCAGGATGCACCTGTGATGGTTTGGGCTGCAGAACCGGGGGTCTCGTGGACTCTGGCTGGGGTGGGGGCTGCTTGGACTTTGGGAAAGGCTCCTCCTTGTGCCCTGGATCTCCTCCGTAGGGGCATTCCTCTTCACGGTGTCCTTAGGAATCAGAGGCAGAAAGCCCACCAGCGTCCCTGGCCGCTTCTAACCCTGCTCCTAGCTTCCCGGTCAGAGGGAACTGATTGCCAGTACGGGGGTCGGTCCTGCCATTTATGCTGATGTGCACTGAGTCTGCTCCTCAGGCTCAGGGGCTGCAGGCACCTGGTGGCAGGTTAAACGCAGACCTCCAGGCCACTCCCAGGGTCTAGTCCCAGCCTTAGGGACTCCTGGGCCTGGGAGCGTGCACGTCCCCAAATACCCAGGATCTCTGAAGTGCATGGCGTGGCGACTACAGGTTCTACATCCAGCTCAGAACCTCCCACCTTTAGTTCCCTCCCTCCCTCCCTTCCTCCCTCTCCCTCTCTTTCTGTCTTTCTTTCCTTCTTCCATTAATTTGCCGTCGGGCGCTCGCACTCCCTGGAGAGAGAGTGGGAAGGCATGATTTCCAATGTGCTTCGTACAACACACGCCTCTCCATTTTGACGAACTCATTTTCATTATCATCTTTTTCCTTTAAAAACAAGTGAAATTCAAAATTTCCAAAGTAGTTGACTGTTTCACTTCTCAACTTGGTAAGCCACAAGGGGCGAAGCCCGTGCCCAGAGAAAGGAGCAGGCGGCGATGAGAGGTGCCTCCTCTGCCCCCTGGGGACCTGGCGCCCGTACCACCCGATGTCACCTCCTCCCAACCTCACTGAGTCTCCAGGCATTCCCTGCCTTCCTGGTGAGCCCTACGCCCTGACCTGTGTGGTCACAGCCGTATTTCCCGCTGTTTCAGGGGCTAGAATTCAGTGTTTTTCACAATAATTGAATATTTGAGGTCTTTCTCCCTCCTGGTTTTGAAGAAAAAAAGAAGTGAACGTTTTCTCAAATATCTGTCTATTGGTTTTGTCCAATAATTTTTTTCTTAAATGTTTAGTTCTTGCTATCCCTTGCTATTGTCTGCAGCAATGAGGGGAAAATAAATAAATAAATAATAAATAAAAATGACTATGAATAGGAAAAACAGAAAGAAAAAAAAAGGTCATTTATTGTGTTGCCAGAAAGGAGTGCCTGGGGACCAGCAGTTAGTGTAATGGCTGGACTCCCACGTAGTCGACCGCGGTTCGCGTCCCAGAGGTGGCTTAAACTCATGCCGGGCGCATGTGCGTGCGTGCCCAAGATCCTGAGAGGAGAATGGAGAAGGGATTGCGGTGTGGCCATCCCCCCCCCGGGGGGTGATTCTCACTTTCTGTCTCTGTCTCTCTCTGTCTGGCGAGCGCACGTGCCCTATAGCAAAAACATCTCAAAAA